TAAGATGTGTTTCAGCGACAGGTTCAGGCCCATCCTCTTTCCGGCAACTGCACCCCTCTGAACAGCAGTCCTCTGGTCGTTCCCTCTGTCGGCAAACACGGCCATAAACCTGAGCCGCCGAAGACACGCCGCTGGGCGAGAGGGAAACACCCACATGGTGACACCGCGGACAGGTCCGGGAAGGATTTGCCAATGAATGGTGAAATGTTGCCCGAGTCGTCGGCCGAATCGGACGGTGCTGGACATGATTGTGCGAAAGTGAGTGTGGAGGCGGCGGTGCAAAAGGTGTCGCTGGAGTCTTGATCATTGCGGGAAACGAAATTACATACAAGCGTATTCTTTTGCATCGTGTGCCATTGCACGGAGATAGATATCTTCTCGTGTTTCTTGTCATGTTAAACTTGCACATACCCATTAAAGAAGACGAGGATGCTGGCCGTCTGGTTTAGCCATCACGTCGAGTGCTGTACCTTACCACAAGATTTTGACAATCAGTACAATCTATCTCAGAATTTCATAACTCATCATTTGACTGCTATCCAGTATGTACCGGAAATGTACATGACAAGAAGTGAGAGAAGTATCATAATCGCAGATCAAAGCATCAATCAGATTGAACCATGAACTCATCAAGTCAATAGGGAACCCACGCCATGCGCATGCAACGCTATGCAAAGCCATGCAAGGTGCCCCATGCAGTGCAATGCAACGCGATGCAGATAGAAACGCCATCGGCTAACCTCCCGCAAGAGCAAAGCAACGCAAAGCAACGCAGAACCCTGAAGACCGACCGACTCCTACTGCGGCTCCTTATCCTTCAATACCCCAGAACCTCTCCGCGCCAAACGTCCACGGATTATCCGACTTCCACAAGTCATCGAACGCAGTGAAGAGCACGAAGTCGGGATCGTTCGCAAACGCCCGCCTCAGACTCGCAATGGCTTTCTTCTGGTTCTCCGGCGACGGCACCGCACGGCCATTAGCCAGGCCCGCATGAGGCCATCCCGACTCCGTGATGACCGTTTTCTTCCCGCCCGCCGCAACGGAGATGCGTCGCGCTTTGTCGAGCGCGTACTCGCCCGCGTGCTCGGGGAGCTGCTGGTTATCGAAGAAGGCGTGGCAATTGGCGGCGCAGTAGTCGGACGCGGTGCAGAGTTCCGGGTGCTGGAGCATGACGGAGAAGGTATCGACCGTTACCACGGGGCCCTGGTACCCTGCGCCCCGGAGGATGCCGCGGGCGGTGTTGACGGCGTTGACGACGTCGCCGGGGGCGTTCTGGCCCTTGTTGACGAGCTCGTTGCCGATGGCGATGGTGTGGAAGACGGACCAGTCCCCGCCTGCGGCGGCGGCTGCGTCGCGGATGTAGTGCAGGCTGTCTGGGAAGTTTTGGAGGTCGAACACGCCCGCGAAGACTTTCAGGCCGTGCTGTCTGGCTGCTTGGGTGACGAGCTTGGTCTGGTCGCAGTCGATGCCGTAGATGCGGATGAAGGAGTAGTAGCTGAGATGCTCGATGTCCTTGTTTATCTGGTCGAAGGACTTGCAGGTGCCGTAGCTGGTGTAAGGCGAATAGGAGATGCCGAAGCGAGGGTCCGAGTGCATGTTCAAGTTAGGCACTTTGATGGGGAGTTTGGGGAGGAGATTGTCGGGGAGGACATCATCAGTGTCTGGGAGCAGAGGCAGCTCGGTGGGCGACTGCCTTGATGTCAGTTGCAAGTTCAGGCAGGTTATACATTGGATCAATTACAGGCAACACATACGTTCTTGGAGGCCGTAGTAGGGGTCTGGTGGTTATGCTCAATACTGATTGTGTGTCCAGCTTGATCGACCCAAACGATAACTTGCTCGTGGGGATTGATGTCGTGCTCGGCATCGCGACGATAGCCAACTGATAATGTATCTGGCAGTTAGCAATGTCTTCGACACTCAGAAGTGTTTTACTTTGAAAATATCTTACCATGAGGGTGCGCTGCAGACTGGTAGGCCAACAACAGGGCCAGAAGGTTGATCTTGAATCTCATTGCAACGGTCAATTGCAGTCCTCACGTTGACTCTTCCTCAGTGCAATCCAAGAAACAGTAGAAGTGAACAGATTGAACGAGTCAGATCAATGAAGAAGTAGAGATTGTGAGGCCAGGCCCGGACTGTGGGCTTAAATACCCAGGCTGTAGATGTACATTCACTGTTAAAAAAGTCAGTCATAGAACCATCAGAGGCGTAGTGAATTAGCGCCCACTTACTCTAGATCTTTTCGAGATAAAATTCATCATGAACTCAGTAATCAGTGAAGGCATGCTCTTAAGTACCAGTACTTCACTTGCTCCCTGTGGAATGTTAGGCCCATACCTTCCCAAACACCCTCATATAAGAAGAATGTGCTAGGACCCTGATTTGACGGCATGTTCCTCAGGGGCTGTAACTGCAAGACATCATACATGACTGACATGCTGTGCTTCGATTTTACTCTGCAGGGTTGTCGAAGCTCTTGGGGGAAAATGAGTGATAGTCCTGTTATCCCAACCAGTATCAAGGGAGACTTCCCTGGCATAACCCTTCCCCCGGTACTCATTCTTTGACCAACACATGGGGCTAGATAAAAGTGATTATCTCTGATAATTAAGTAGTTCAAAGGTCATCTCAAAGGATACAGACTCTTACATTTGTCGACTCTCAGGGATGTCGAGAAGGACAAGAAGGGAGAACTATGGAGGTTGTACAGTGTAATTGGGCAATTAGGGTAGGATCTTGAGGCATTCATCTTGGCCTCCCAAATAGTCAAGTGTACGAAGCAGGTGCTATACTTCTCGATTCTATGAGAGCATTTTGTTTTGAGCCACTAGGAGATGACAAGATTCGAAGTTGTGAACAATCCACCACGAACTTGGTAGGAGCCAGTATCTCGTGAGCTTTAAGGCTATTCAAGAAGATTGCTGAGAGAGCTGACTACTACAGGCATAACAGTTACTAATGCTGTGCATGTAACCCTTGCATCTCCTATGCTGTCTTGTATTTTCCAGGGTCTTTCATCTTATCTCCAGTTAGCCCGGATTATCGTTGGAGAGAATACCATTTTGTTCCCTTGTATTAAAAGAATAAGTCTAAAAATGCTGAGATGTGAACACACAGCAAGGCCTGATTATAAACAATTGAGAAAGCAGTCTTCGATACACCAGAGGTGTCATTATGCCTGTTCTCCTCACATGAGGTTGACGGGAAGGATGGTCTGACTTGTTCCAAAGCTGCTTCCACGAAGTGAGGTCGATGGCTGCTGCACGCATTCATCAATGATGGTGTATTGCACAGAAAGCTGAGAAAGTAGGAGTGTCACAAGTCAGGTCAAAAGACCGAGAAGTCATGGCGATGTAGGTCAATTAGGAAGCAAATGAGGTCATGACAGCATAAGCGGTTTGGATTGAGGCCATTGAGAAAGAGATCTGGGCAAAGAAGTGATCTACTTTCTCTTGCTCACAACCTTCGTGATAGCATGGCGAATTATCGTTCCAGCCTTCTCGATTTCTTTCCTCGTCAATCCGATGGTGACACACACCTTGAGCGCTGGAGGGACAATTTGCTTTGGCTCAAAGTTATCGTCCAGAGTCTTGAGACGGCTGATAAGGACACCATTCGCAAGGCACTAGCAGAAAGTCAGTTCTCTTCGAATCCCACGACAACTCCAAAGTGCTCGGGTCAAAGATTGCATACCTCGTCAACCACATCCTGCAGTAAGAACTGCTGATCTTCGGCAGTAAGTCTCTTGGCGGCCACCACTTCGGGTTTGAGGACAAGGATCATGACGGGATTCTCAGGGGCGCTGGTACAGTACATCCAATCACTGCGAGGATCCAACTGTGCCCACATAGCTTTGGTGTGCTCCCTGAGCTGCGATACTACTTCAGGGCCATTCTGAAGCAAATTGATCGTTGCACTTGCTGTGGTCGATAGCAGAGCAGGCAATGCCGCTGAGAATGTATACGCGGCGGCAGAGATTCGTTGATGGTGAACAATTTCCTCAGAACCAGCACAGAAACCGCCTCCGGCGACCAGGGGACCGGCCAGCGAGCCCACAATCATATCAACTTCTGCCGCATCGACGTTTTGGTGCTCTGTGACGCCTCGGCCAGTTCTTCCCAAGACGCCAAATGACCAGGTTTCGTCGAGGATAAGTCGGAATTTGTACTTGAGTTTCAGTTCAATCTTAAACTGTCTGTCAGACTGTGCCAATTATTTCCAAAGAACGGAAGAATCACGTACGATTTTGGGAAGATCGACCATGTCACCATACGATTCAAAAAGGCCCTCGGTGATGATGAACCTTCTCGTGAGGGGCTTTCTCGCTTGCTCTTTGGTGATCTTCGCAAGAACTCTTTCCAAATCTTCCATATCATTATGCTCATACCACCGGACCATGCTGCGCGAAATCTGAATACCCTTCCGAATGGCGAAATTGACACCCTTGTCGGCAACAATGATATCTCCACGTTTCGAAAATGCCGGGATGACGCTCGATATGGTAGAGAAGGCCTGGGAATAGATGATGCAAGCCGCTGTGCCGAGATAGGCAGCAACATCTGCTTCGGTCTTCATGTGCACGTCCTGGGTGCCGTAAAATCCTCGGGGACCACATGGGCCGACTCCATAATTGCGAAGGGTCTGGATTGCCTTTTCCTTGAGAGCCTCGTTTGTATTGAAGTTATAGAAGTTGAAAGAACCAAGATTAATCACCGTGCGACCGTTGGACAATTTGGACTTGGGGCCGATTGGACTGCAGACCATCAAACATCAGCATAGCGGAAAACACTGAATGACAGTGAGCATACCCAACAATCACTGTCCGCTTATCGACCTCCATTTCCTCCAGAGCAGTAGGCTGTCCCACAAGAGGCTCTGGGGTCCATTCGTCCACGAGGTCGTCAATCTCATCCTCGGAAAGTTTGACGACTCCGGGTTTCGTTGAGTACTTTGGTGCCAGCAGATAGCGAACTGCGAATAGGAAAAGGAACAATTCGACGGCGGATCGGATCGGATCATTCTGATAGCTTGACTTCACATAGCGCAGGAAAATTGCCGATCCTGGTAGACGGTGGAACAGATTTGCGAGCTCATGGAGGTATTCCGAAAGAAGGCGCTGGGTCTCCTGGATATCCATGATGAACGGAAAGAACGCGGCCTTCGGGGCGCAAGGCCAAAGTATGAGCTTCAGGAAACGTAGATTGATTTAATCATTCACCAGCATTTGCAGCGAGCAATAATAATACTATCAGCAGACGAGGGAATATCTGGGGAAACGCAACAACCAGTCTTAGGAAGATGAGCGCTCGGTTTGGAAATCCAGCGTCAGACGATCAGCGAAACACGTCGCGCACGTGATGTTGCCTAATATTTCTCTCTTCAAGGCAACAACGGCACAAATAATAACACTGCCACACAATAAGGTAGCAATATCGGATTCAAGTCCTATTTCCACCTGCCGAAAGCCAGTAAATGGTATCTTGAGCATGAACACTATGCTGTTTCTATTGCTATCTTTCATGGTGATCACGACATGAGGCTGTTCATTTTAACCCGGCAATGTAGTAGCGATGTGTGGACTCTTCGGAACGGACGATCTGAAAATCATTTTGATAGCTAAACGAATATCATGCATGATACCTAAGACCAGAGTACCTTGATAATACAGTTTATGATGAATGCTCTGTATTGATTTCAGGATCTCAAAACAACTAGACAATAAACAATCTGAACAGTGAAAAAACAGCGAATTTGCGACTGCGAGGCGCTGGGTACTTTATACAGCTCGTGTTCATGATGCCATTTCTGCAAAAATATGAAACAGGCAAGCAAAGAGAGTGAAGAAGTGAAAAATTACAGCGCTTTCTAGCTCGTTGCAGTGGCCGTGCTTGAGGGGCTCTCGACGGGTTCAAAACCGGGTGGAATATTATTGCCGGTATAGGTGACCATTGTGTCATTGTTGTCCTTGTCAAGAGGCTGCATCAAACCACTGATGGGAATGGTGAACCCTTTAGCCAATCCCATGGAGCGAGCAATGAGTGGCACAATGAGAAGGACAAGGAACAGAATGAGCATCGCGAAGTAGAGAATAGCAAAGCGGATGACTCTTCTCTTCCGGAGCTTCGATTGCTTCAGTGAGTAGATTGGAGGGCGGATTTGGCGACTAGAGCAGTGTTAGATAAGATGCGATCAAATATCGTTATGAAGAGTGTTCCTTACCTTGGCCGCAGCCAGAAGAGCATGACCGAGTGGAATTTGTCAATGAACGGGACACAGAGGGCGGGCAGCATAATGAACAAGAGCAGGTGACCCAAAACGAAGTCTGCAGAGAAGTATCCCAACTCCGTAATCTTACACAGGAACTCACGGCCAGGTTGAGACACGGAGTGCCAACCCATGCTGTACCACTTGCCGGTCCACCATGCGATATTAGACTGGTCGTGCTTGAACTCGCGGGTCAAGGCAAGGGAAATGATGAGCTTGTAGATGAAACGTTGAATGGCCGCTGCTGCGATCATGCCCATGAGCATTCTTGGCCAGGACCAGGACTCAAGGAAGAACATGACTTCGAATATGGCGAGCAATACGATGACAGCTATTGCGTGCGCGATGGCGGCGAGAACAGCGCCGAATTTCTTGCAGCACATGCTGAAAATGGGCCCCATACAGCAGGCCATGCCGAAGAAAGCACCAGCAACACCTGCATTGATGCCGATTGGTCCAGCGGCAACAATGGCGATTCGCATGATGGCATCCGTAGCTTGTTTTGGGTCGTTGGTTTTTCCAGTTCTGGAGTTGATGTAGAGATAGGGGACCAGAGTCACAGCAACGAGTACCAGGGGTGCAACAATCTCGCTGAAGAAAATGTTGGTGATACGAGCCCTAGGAACATCGCCGGAGCCCTTTTCGGATGGCACACCCAGAAGCTTGCGCTTGTAACCCGTGATCCGAGTACGAGACAGACGACAGAATCCGATCCAAGAAGATGCGTGTGAGCGCGAATTACCACGTG